CCGGCCCCAACTATATCAGTTTCTTTGGCACCATCTCAGAGAGCTACCCAAAACTCTTGTCCACAAGCCAGCTAATCTGTCAATAATGAAGTATATTTAGGCTTGCCTTCCTTGAGGCTACATTCAGGCCCTGTGGAGAATTCAAAGGATCTACAATCTGCTTAGCCATCTGAAACTTGCTTGGCTTCATGAATCTTTCAGTCAAACCATTTTGGCACTTCATCTTGATGTCTGCTTGACTCCTGTAAACACCCCTGCCACGCAAGCCTCAGTGCTATTCACATGTATGTCAGATGATGGAATTTCCAGTCCAAGCACCATCGGCTCCATCAAAACGGACTACACCACAGTCTATATTGCCACTGAAAACTTTGTTGGGGCTGCTCCTATTTCTCTTTATACTCTTGTGCTGGCAAGGAGACCGGGGGAAGTATTTTGTTCACAAAAGGAGCTTGCAGGATGTGAGGAGATTAAGCATTCACATACTTCTTCACTGACATCACCTTCCTTAACAATTAAAAAGCTTACTTTTCTGGGTATCTCTGGTCAACTTGTGGCTCTGCTGTCCAGCAGTTTGGACATTTCATTGGCATGGAGACATGGCTGGGGGATATCAGTTGAAGTTCTTTTGCTATGCCTTCTCTGCTTGACTGAATATTTATCACCAATACCAATCTAGAATTTCTTTGAGCAGCTCAGGATTCCATTAAAAGAAATCATACCCTATTCTGCTCTAAAGAACCTACCCAGCTTCCCTTGTTTGAAAGCTCCATCTTCTTGGAAAGACCCAATGCAGCATCTTAATATGGCCCTATTTTCAGAAGTCAATGAAGACTTGCTTGATTTTGCCAAAACTAGCTTGCACTGACTTTAGCAGCAGTAGTAGCATGTACATGTATTCACTTTCAGGCACCAGAGGTTAACTCTACTGAGTTATCCCCAGCTCTGTTCTCATCTCAAGCAATACTTTTTCTTGAGGGCACCCAAGCATCACTTTTGTAGAGCAGTACGTGTAGGATGACTTGGATGAAATGGAACAGTAACCTTATGAGCAATAAATCATTGTTAGGCCCTTGAGGATCACCTTAGGACTTCATTTAAATCCCCTTCTGATGAACAAAACCAACTTCAGAGACTGATTGGATGAATACCTAACAATTTTCTGTTACAAATAACGTTTCCAGCTCCAGACACTTTTAATCCCTTTTTTCAGCATCAAGGAGTAGCAGACAGTAGGCAAGGTCATATTGTTCTGTGACTATTTAGTGGATTTTTGCTCACCTGTATCCTCACTACCAGTTTCAAAAGGAGTTAGTTACCATTGTTGATCACCTTTTTGTTAACAGTATCCTTCACATGATTCAGTTCTGATCTCAGCAGCCCAGGAAGGTAATGTGATGTCCCTGTCTATGTACTTACTCAAACTTTAGTGTAAGTAATGCTCATTAATGATACTGTCTGTACTATGGTATTAACAGCTCCCAAAATGACTAGCTTCCATCATTTTCAAGACTTTCTAACAACAGCTTTTATTTCACCCTGGCACCAATTAGTTCAGTTACATCACAAAGCAAACAGTGGGATTGAAAGATGGTATGCACTTAAGCCTGAATGGATATGCACATAATTGCTGTTTATTGTAATATACATACATAACACCCACAAAATCAAGACTGACAGAAAGGGAATAAGAGAGCTGCACCCTTCCAATTCCTTCATAGCCATAGGAAAAGTTATGTAAGCTAGCATCTTCTCAAGATTTGTTGCGTCTTCCCAGTTGCAGTTGAATACAACTTCATCCCATGTTTGATAACAGTTGACAGTATTTTTTTCTAAATTCATACATATAAAATATAAAAATGTGTTGCGATTTTATCTTTTCTGTAATACATAACAATTCAGATATTACTGGAATTCTATTCTTTTTTTTCGGTTGGCTAGGTGGTATTGTAGCCATGGT